AAAATTACTTTTAGCCATCCAATTAAAAAAGAAAATATACTGCTGGGTTGCTGCGGTCTGGCTCCAGAAATTAATCCAGAAATTAATTTTCACAACCGTTGCAGTTAAATCTAAGCTTGAGAAAATGATCAGCTTAAAAGACTCTTTAAGTAAAAAGATGTGGAAAGGCGGTCAGGAGAAAATTGAAATAAATAAAAACACTGTTTTAGAAATGTGATAACTTGCAACACTTTTTTTTTTCAAACCTTCATAGGGCAAGTTACCGTTTTTGATCACTTGCATACCCCTTACAAATATCCCTCCCCGCCCCTCAGTGATGTCTAGAATAACAGGATCTATATCCAGCCATTCAGCAAAGATACTGCTGCATGGCTGTACATCTTATTTTGGCATTTGATCAATTAGATGAACCTTTGAATGATATATTACCTATTGTACATTAAGTTTTGTAAAAAAGGTTACAAGCTAATTAAAAAGTTAAAAAGTCAACTTAAAAAGTTAAAAAGCCTAGTTAACAATTATAGTTAGGTAATGACAATAATGCAATGTCATCAGGAAACTAAGGAATGAGTTGAAGTGGCTTAATGTAAACATCAATACCGCATAATGACTGTTAGTCACAGCATAATTTAAAGAAGACAAACGTGTCAGCGATGAAATGTTTGCCGTTTTGGTGTTGATTGAACATGCAATGCAACAGATGTTCAGAACACAACTTTCTGCAGATGGTCCAAAATGGTAGACTGATAAAGATTAGGTATGTCTGTAATTTAACCATTAAAAAATTGCTTTTTTTATTTTAGACATTTTTAGTTTTTTTTATTTCACCTAAAGAAACTTTAAATGACCAACAGATTGTTACTTTTTTCTCTTTTTATTCAGAAACAGAAAATCCAAGGAGCCAACCATACACTATTAATGACTTTGAACATTGAAAATGTCAGTTATAGTAGCAGCCATTCAAAATGGCCCCTCCCAGCCTAACTGCCTGCAGCTGCCAGCAAATTCCCCTCCAACTTCCAGCCACTCGAGTAACCTCCCTCTTGCATATTTTTTTTTTTTTTACTCTGACTCCAACCTTTCACTGAATTACAGGGTCTGACGACCAGGAGATGACGCTTCTCTTTAGATCTTAATGTCCACAAATCATGACACAAATAATATTTTATTACAAAGTTTGATGTTTAAAAAGGAATTGTAGGGGACCAGCCAAGGGCCCAACGAGGAAAGTGGGGAAATTTGTAATGGCTACTATTGTATTTCAATAACCAAGTGATACAACAGGTTTTTTAATCTTATTTTTGATTCTTTTACATTAAACGTGACATAATCAGAACATTACATCAGCCAATTAATATAACACTATAAATACAAAAATGTAGTGCAGTGAAAGGTATGTTTAATACCTTCTCAGAGGTCCTTTTCTAATAAGTAATTTTTATCCAAGCCTGATCAGAAGGCTAATTTATGAAATATAGATTATATTTGTGCATCTTGTGAATATTTAAGAGAATCCTTTCTAAAAAAAAATACTTGGACCTTACCCAGAGGCAGTTAAAGCTCATCCTTACAGTTTCTGCTTTGTAACAGTTACTGTGGATGAAAACCTGAAACTGAAAAATGTAGATAAACATGGCTATGTGTGTGTTTGTTTGCTTTTTTTTTTATGTTTTTATATTTAGACATATGCAACTGCTCACATCTAAATAACCTAAACAAATATCCCGGCGCTTTACTGTGACGCATGTGTCTCCCTTCCACTACCACAAACTGTCTCTGTGTCTGGGTGTGTGTTTGGGAGTGTGTGCGGGTGTGGGAGTGTGTGTGTACGTGAGAGACAGCTCTGTGAGTGTGTGTACAACAGTCCGCTTGGCAAGAGAGCCGCATTCCACAGCAGCAAGCGTCTGACGTCAAAGCAGGGACATTTATAGTCTGGTAAACACACACTCACATGCAGTCTGACAAAGAGGTGAAACTGAGGTACCATTTCACTCCATCCAGAAAGTTTCTTAGCTGAATTTTAGCCACTTTTCACTGTAGTTATAAACTGACTCATGATCAAGAAAATGATCAAGCAAGTTAGGAGTTTGAACAGTTTGTTTTGCACATAAAAATTATAAAGCTCCAAGAAAAAAAAACATTTTGCTTAGCAGAGCTTATGACAACAAAATTGTATTTGAAGCCACCATGCTAAATAACAAGCAACACTGCAAGATTAGTTGGGCTTTAGTAATATTGAATTCAGTTTATTTAAAATGTGCCAATTCACAACACATGTCAGCTCAAGGCACTTTACAGAAACAGTTCAACCAAATCATACAGTTAAACTGATTCAAAGTTTTCTATCTAAGGAAAAGCAGTTGATTGCATCGACTCATTGACTCTTCAGCAATCCCTCACACTAAGCATGCTTATAGCGA